AAGAATATGAATTCTGTCAATGCTGTCTGCTTCTTGTGAAAGTGCCAGCTGCCTAGCTACCGCCCTGACCCATTAACCCAAATACTTTACGAGGTACTGACTTGGTACATATGTGCAGATCAGGATCTTTGACCTAACTATGACTTTCTAATGCATGTTCTGGGTCAGTGACTTGGAAAGTATTTCCTTTAAAACCCTCTGTCACTGCAACATTCTCAGTTGTTTTTTTGTTGTTAAAGAGATTTATCCTAAGGGAAGCCCATGGTCTTTATATAAATTTTTTGGGCATACCTCGTAAGCTCATGGTCTTTCACTGGTTAAGGTAAAAACATTAATCTGCCAAAAATATTGCTTTAACTTTGCAAATATCTTTTTCAATTTTTTATAAGAACAAAAATATTTACAGCATTTTTAAAAACTGAAATGTTAGATTTCAATAAATGCATACACTAACTGCATTTCATTTGTTTTTTCTCAGCAATGGAAAAAGTATGTAACCTTGTAAAAAAAAAAAGATAAGATGTCTACTTCAAGATTGTGTTTGTCAAATTTGAAATGTACAGATATGCCATATAGATTATCAGACATAAAAGTCAACATGGGTGCAGGGAGTTCCTGTGATTGATGGCTTTCAATCTGGTGTACAGACTTGTCGTTAATTATTTAGTAGTATTTATTTATAAGGCGCCAACATATTCCACAGTAGAGTGGGGGTGAAAAATCAAGGCTATTTACTCTATGACATTTCTCGATTTTCATTAAATCAGTAATGACAGAGTGGGTATGCAGAAACTGTGTTACACAAAGGCTGTGAAGTCATGAGACCATAGAATGGACAGAATTCGATCAACTAGAAAAGAAGTTGAATACAGTGTCAATACAGTCGACCCCTGAAATTCGCGGAGGTTACGTTCCTAGAGTACCCGCGCATTGTGAAAAACCCCAAATTTTGAATGTGGTCAAAATAATGCCTATAAATGCCTATTTTTATCGTTCAAACCCTAAATATACCCCCAAAACACTTTCATTTCATTTCAAACTCTGCCTAATACATTACGCTTTAAAAAAAAAAAAAAAAGAATGTAAATATACCAAAGAAAACGCGCTTGCATGAATTACAGTACATATCGGCAAAACATTGGTATTTTACATTCTAGCACTGTGGGAGACTAAAGGTGGCCATACACTGTACACCATCACAAGACCTTAGTCTTGCGATGGTTGTAAAGTGATTAAAAAAACGTACTATCTGCCCATCTTGGACAGGCAGATCGTACTCTCGATCTTTGCAAGCCCGCCCCCTGAGGGGCGGGCTTCCGATGACCGCAATGCTGAACGGGCAGTGTGCGCGTGCGCACACCGGCCTGTTCGGCATTTGTCTCCCGAGCACCGTTCAAACCAGCTGAAAATCGTACGATTTTCAGCTGGTTTTCTAGCGTGCTCCTTAGACAAAAGACGTGCGACCGTACAGTAGAAACGGTCGCACGTCTTTGTTCACACTGCTCGATTCTCGTACGATCGCGGGATTTCCCGCGAATCGCGTACGAGAATCGAGCAGTGTATGGGCACCTTTAGCAGTACAGTACTGTACAGTACTGTACTGCTATGTCTCTCACAATGCACTGTGCACAGTATACTGTACAGTACTTTACTGCTAAGGCTCCCACAGTGCTAGAATGTAAAATACCGATGTTACCCCTATATGTACTGTAATTCATGCAAGCGCATTTTCTTTGGTATCCGCTGTTGTTTTCATTGGTATAAGAAGAGTAAATACAGTAATAATTTACTAACTAACAATTATTAGTTCTAAGGAAAAATCCGCAAACAACTGAGGCCGTGAACTCTGAACCGCGAATTTGCGCGGGGTCGGCTGTATAAGACATTTATGAATTTATTTTCTTGACCATTCATAGGTTTTATTTATTAACATGGCTAGCAAAAGTGCGCCCATTCATTTGAATGGGCAAAATACACTAGGGTGTGTAACTTCAGTTGCGGAAAGCTCAGAAGTGCGCATTGAGTGCCGAGTAATGTGTCTCTGAATGTGCCAAAGTGAATACGTTTGTAATCAGGCTTACAGTATAGTGTTCAGTGAGAGCCAGTGGTGCAACATTTTTTGAGTATCATTTACAACAGTTAGAGTGGAAATATGCAAAAAAAGTGACATTCAGTATCATTAACACAGCATTCTTTATTTTACCCTATGTAACATAGTTTTATAGTTTTTTGATCCTGCCACTACGTCTGTTATTTAACTTTCTTTAACAGACCAAGTTGCCCAGCAAAATTTGAAATTAGAGGATGGAAATATGCCATTCAACACTGACTTTTAGTTAAAACCTTTAAACCAAAAGGAAAAAAAAACAAACTGTTACTGTAACTGCTTAAAAATGTTACCTGGAGTTAGGCTTTAATTATAAGTCCCTTATGTAAAGTCCGTCTGAATTGTTTAGTCCATGTAACACCGCCCTCTCTACAGGTTAACAATTCTGGTATCCAAGGATGGCTAATATGGCTTCTCCATAGATATAGTGGAGCAAGTAAAAATAAAGGAAACAAGCTTAAAAAAAGGAAACTAATGCAGCCACCAAATTGAATTGGTAAGCTGCAAGATGTTATGATTTTTGTTTTTGGGTTTAGATACACTTTAAGACAAGCACATATAGTGTAAAATGTGCGTCAAATATTCTGAACCCATTATCCCATAGCTAAATCAAAAGAGAAACCCAGGGAGGGCGTTTGAATAATATAATGGTACTGGCATGGTACTTTGGTTCTCTAGACAGCAGTTACTTAACAATACATAGGCGAAAAAGGCACTCCTGGTAATACATGAGTTACAACTGGGCAAACATATATGGTACTTATGGGACAATAAACAGTCAATTATTACATTATGCAGGCAACAAATGGGCTGATGGGAAGGGGGTTTAACACCGCGGATGTCAACTGGTTAAAATATGCGGGCAGTAAATTGTGCAATTGTGATAATGCGTGGGCATTTACATGGCAGTCATGATACATGTTCAGTTGTTACAATAGGGCAACATAAAATAATGACAGTATGTAAGCAACAAACTGGCAATTATGTCAATATGTGGCAAGAAATAATCATAACAATATGCTGTCAACAAACCAGCATTCGCTACAGTACAAAGATAATGACACCAACAGTGACAATACCTTGACCCCAGTCAGTGTGAACAAAGAATTATGGCCTGTAATAATAATGTCTGCTTACATTCCCTTTTCATTGGTGGTCAGTGGCAATTAGAACCCTTATTACATTGGTGGTTAGCGAGAAGAATGATGCATTTTTTTAACTAACCACCAATGTAACGGGTATTCTTCCTCCCTCCAACCACTAGTGCAGGGGTCAGCAACCTTTTACACACCGAGTGCCATTTTTGCAACCATCAGACAACCGAGTGCCATTGAACAATAGTGCACCATGGTATTAGCAAATTTCAGTTTTTGTACTCATAGTTGTACTGCTAATAATAAGTTAAACTCACTAATTATTTGAATGTGTTTATCTTTGGAGCCTCGGGCCGCCCCGTCGTGATTGGACGGCGGCGGACCGTAGTGTGCGGCCGCCGGATACCTTACACCGGCGCCCGCAACTTCCCCACAGGGTCACCGCTGCCGCCCCGAGGCCGGGCCTCGGTGGCCTTGTGGGAAATCCGGGCCTGCGTGCCAGCCGATGTGGCCTCGCGTGCCAAGCCGGGCACGCGTGCCGGGGGTTGCCGACCCCTGCACTAGTGCAAAGTGCATTTTTTTGCAGTGGTGGTTAGTGGGAAAATTAAGAGGCACATTAAAATTTCATTTTCAGTGCCACTACCTACCTCGAATTGCAGTAGGCTCTACACTACACTGTGACATAGTTCCAGTGCTACTACACTGGCACTGGAACTATGCAGGCATTGTTTGGTAGGCAACTGGTGCAAAGAGCATTCCATTCTAGCTACACCACTGGTACCCTGTGCTGTAAATTACATACTGTTGGAGATAACATATACCAGACTGCCTTATTTTGTATTCCGTGCAGTACATTAAATAAGAAGTCTTGTCTAATTTTTTTTTTAAAGCTCAACTAACTAACTATTTTATCCCATGCTTCTCTGTGAAGTGAATCCTGAGATACAGACTATGACAGCTCATTCCTTTTCATTCCTGACCACACTCTGCAAAGGAGATGGACTCCTGATTGACAGCTCTTATCTCCGTCCCTGCACTTTCCAGACACAAGCAATGTCACACGAATACAGATGGAGGGGACACGTTCTCACGGGATTCAGCATAGGCACTAGAACTGGAAGGGGAGCCTTGTTTTGCCCTGGGAAAGTGCAGGGACAGTGAGATAAGAGCGGTCTACTTTGCAGATCATGTTTGGGAATGAAGAGGAGTGAACTTGTCAGTCTGTATCTCAGTTTCTACTCCACACAGAAGCATGGGGTAAAAAAAAAAAACAACATACACTGCGGGAGTGAGGTGACCGAGATGTGAAAAACAATACAATGTGAGACTCATTCTTCAAATACTCTGCATCAATACACTATAACGGGAATTTCTCAAAACTGGAGCAGAGAACATCTGGACCAGCTCTGCATGGCAACCAGTCAGCTTGTAGCTTTCATTTTCAAAGTTTGACTAAACAAAACTGAAGGAAGCTGATTGGTTACCATTGGCAACTGCTCCAGATTCTGTGTGCTCCAGTTTTCCAATTCTTCTCCCCTTTTAATAGTGTGTTGTACATTAAATATATGTAATACTGCTAATCATTACAGTACTGTCATATTACTAGATATAGCTCATTCTGCTAGGATCTCTGAATCCCACCCGGTTCAATGAATGGGCTTACCTTTACTAGTTATCCTACAAAGAGATTTTCCGACATGTCGCAAAGCTTTGTATTCATCAAACGGCCAATTATATGTGAGCATCTTTGCTATTTTTGTAGGTTATACTCTTCTAACATTTGTATTGTCTCCTTGCAGCTTATTCGGTGCCATCAGTCTCGTGGAGGGGCATGCGGAGATAATATTCAGTCTTATACTGCCACTGTCCTTAGTGCTGCCAAAGTAAGTATAAAGACTACAATGTGGTACTACTGCATCGACTGAAACCTAACACCCATCTCAAGTTTTTGTAGGATACCCTGAGAACCCCCCACCACCACCCATAACCCCGGGCTTCTATTTTTTTCCAAAAAAATCACTGAATTGATACTATAAATCCTGCAGTCTTCTGACCAGAAAGGAGGCATCACAAATTATTTTCCTCTTTTTCTTACTTTATAACGAAACAAGTTCCCTGCATTATGTTATGAAACATTTATTATTACCCAGATTTTTGGTACAATCTATAGGATGGGCTCATGCACGCACCTGCGAAATAGCAAAAACTACCATACCCAAAATTGACCATAGGCAACACTTTAAAAGCTTTTACCACTCATCAGTTTAGTGTTAACAGTGATAAATTGCCCTAGAATGATTGTCCTCACTCCAGTGTTTCGCAGTGATATGTAACTTGTGTGGTGTAATAGTTGTTTTGGCACGTAGGTGCACCTGACACGGGTGACTTAAAAATGTGTTTGTGTTTTTTTTTTTAAAATGTATATGCAACTTTTTTTAAAACCTTCTTTTTTTTTTTACACTTAACTAACAAGCCTCCTATCGGATAGAAAATATACAATGGCAGGTCCTCTTTATGGAGACATCAGGGGTCTCTAAGACCCTTAATGTCACCCATGGACATGCTTCATCAGCTTCTTCTCTGGCTATAGAAATTACAGCTGAAAGCAGAAGGGATGTAATACACATCACTTCCACATTCAGAGATCGGAGCAAGTGGAAGAATGCTGATCTCCCTCCGATCTCAGTACAGGCAGCTGCTGTGCCAGTACTGAGCCCACAGAGGAGCGGAGAGGGGGCCCGCACAGTCTTTGACACCATACAAGTGATCAGACAGCTGTAGAGCTGCCTGACCGCTTGTATGGGACAGCCGGTACCGGCTATTTAAAATTTTTACTGTACTCCGCTTGCTCACAAGATAGGGGTGCGTACATGCAGAAAAAAAGACGCCATTCATATATGGTGACCCGCAGAAAGGAACTTGCCTTCTGTCCGTTTATTTACAACAGGCAGATGGCAAGTAGTTAAAAGGAATGTATAGTGGTCTTGTATATATTTTGTTTATTTATTATGACCAGGAGTTTAAAAAAAAATGTAAAAAAAAAATATACAGTTAAGTATGCAATATTACATTTTATACACTTCTTTTTTTTATTCAGCCAGCAGCTGGAATCTACTTTTCACTTATTAACCTATTTTAACTTTTAGCTCTGCTGAAAGAAACCAATTAGTCACAGAACTGAAATAAGTCATCCTAGCAGTGGCTCATATTTTATCAGAAGGCTCAGTACCGGTTTTCTGCTAGGCAAAGGCAGCTGCAAAGCTTTACCATTATGCTTTTGGAATCCTTTGCCATGTATTGAATCCCAACTCCATGACATTTTCAAAAAATCACAAACTAGAGTGTAAATATGCCATTTTGAGTTGCTATATGAAATTGTGTCAGTCTTGTATATAATTGTAGATAGAAAAAGATAACCTTAACATTCAAGGTACTGATGTTATAATACAAGACCTATTAGCACATGTATTATTATCCTTTGTTTATAAAGTGCCAACAGATTACACATTAAAGGTGCAAATTACAGATATATGATGCATAAAGATACATTTCTCAGAGCTCTAGAAAAAGGTGATGGGAATTTCAACTAAAATGTAATAAACATTTAAGTGATGATAATGCAAACTTCATCTGTATGCATTTAAGGGGCAACAAGCTTACATTACAGTATCACAGCTGGTAAACCTTAATCAAAGTCACTGTGTAAGCAATTGATACTCCTGATAAATTAATACAGAGTAACGAGCCATTCTTAACTTTCCCAAACATCTTAAAACTCAGCGGAGAAAGGCTGGTTTGCATTATGTGAATCTCTTGTCTGACCTTAGTATCCCATAAGATACAGACGGGGGGGAAATCTACTTGGAAATACATGAAAGGAGTAAGAAAAAAGCATTTAGAAAGGTTATTTGGCTCCCAAGAGACAGGGCTTTAGACATTTGACAAATTTATTTTTTTCACCACAAGAAAGAGTATGTCTTAATTTTGGTTAGCAAGCTTTATGCTGACTACACATGTTGACTTGATGATATCCATCTTTGGTGTATGTGAAATAATGTGGACATGGATGATACCATAAAGGAGTGCTGCTTATGTAGCGAAAATAATGAGGGACCAATATAGCTTCATTAAACTGAAGGAGTATACACTGAAGAACAGTTTAATGATTATGCTGAGCACTGCATTTACACTTCCAAATCTTGTGGTAGTGTATCCTCAGTGTTTGCTGATGATGTCATGTTTGGCCTCACTTTTAGTTTAGTGACCTGCCATTAAGCAGAGTCCCACAATAATTATTTTTTTTAAAGTTTGCAATAAAAATATAAGTTAAGTGCTAAAAGATTTATGACACTTTAATGAACTCGGGGGGAGAATCACACACTTAAGCTTGCAGTGGGGGCTACCTCTGCACTGCAAGGGTTAACTACTCATTTTGTTTAAAGGTTTCAAATGAAGCAGATTTACTTACCTGATGCTCAGTCCCACTAGCTCCCCCCAGGCTGTTAGGCTTGTCCCATCAGCCTCTTTTTCCCTGGGCTCCAGTGGTCCCCTGGTCTCCAGTGGTCATGTCTTATGCAGGACCTTTGACCTGCATTAGATTTGAAGACATTGAGGGACATTCCATAGCAGAGGGGGAGAGAGGTGAGTGCCTACTGCCATGATACAGAGGATCAGGTAAGTAAAACTGCTTTATTTGAGCCCCCTAGAAAAAAATGAGCGCTTAACCCTTTCGGTGTGGGGGTAGCAAGGGTAAGTTTGGAAATTTCCAGGACTATGTTTGTGGTTACACACACTTTGATTTAATGGAACTAAAGCAAGGGCTGCTCCAACAGCTGTGTGTTTTTATACATGGAAGCCACAGTGTTGTTTGTCCACCCCTCTCCTCCCATTGCCCATTCACAGAATGCATTGTATTCTGTAAATGGTTCACAGATTACAAAGAACACAGATTACAAAGAATTCTGTAAATGGACTAGGGGAGCAGAAGGGCAGGCAGGCATAGCTCTCCTGTGGTAGCTATAACTGTACTATGCTGTCCAGCTTGAATAAAAGTATGAATATTACAGTAATGACACACATACTGTACTTTACACTACAGAATATAAAGAAATGCTAGAGTCGTGCTTTAACACTGGTAGTTGTTCTCTTCACGTCTGTTAAAAATTAGAGTTAGAAGTGAATGTTTTCTCTTTACGAATTTCAATGTACTGTTAAATAGTGATGGGCTCAGGCGTGTTCGCAGCTCCACGTGCCGAGCCCGCCAGGAAGCTGGCAGCGCCAATCACAGGCACAGAGACATTTCCCGATCTCTGCAGCTGCGGACCTGGATAATGTCTCAGTACCTGTGATTGGCGCTGTCAGCTTCCTCGTGGGCTCGGCACGTGGAGCTGCGAACACGCCCAAGCCCATCACTACTGTTAAACAACATTTCACAACACTTGATTTCAATGTATTTTTAAGAAACTATTTTGATGGCAGAAATCCTGAGATAAAAAAATTAAATAGACCAAAGATTAGTCTATGATGAACATGAGTGAAGGATGTCATATGTGAAGGTGGCCCTTTGGTGGTGTTCTTCAATGGTCTGTGACCTTGTTCAGAGAGTAGCAATTTGAATTACTGTTGGAGGGAGACCTGCCCCAGTATACTTGTGGTCTCCAGAGTAACACAAGTCCCAGCATGCCTGTGAGGTCACCAGGGGACTTCTAGTCTCAGCATGAGGTCACCAGGGACTACAAGTCCAGGGTCTGCAGGTCCCAGTATACTTAAAGATTGTGTTGATTTTTCACAACTTTAAATGTACATTATATCGGCACCTGATATTGGCTATCAGCCTGAAAGGCAGCCGAATATCGGTATCGGTATTAGCTCTGTAAAAATTATATAGGTCGATCCCTAAACAGGATAGGCTGCCTAGGAAGGAATTGCATGGTTAGCCATATACACTGCCTTGTGAAAGTATTTCCGCCCTTGTTTTTTTCCTGTAATTGCATTACAACTTGGAATCAAAATTTAATTTTTTGTCAGTTTGTATCAAGTACACAACATGCCTACCACTTTGTATGTTCTAAATAATGATTGTTGTGACATAAACAATAATTAAGACAAAAAACCCTCAGAAATATTGAGAGTGTGCATGTTGTGAACAAACCCCCCAAAAATCAATTTTAATTCCAGGTTGTAATGCCTTAAAAGAGGAAAAACACAAAAGGGTGAATACTTTTGCAAGGAACAGCACCTCAGTAAGCTTTACATGGACATGGTTAATGATGATACCACTGGAAAACAGCTAATATGGAATTTAACTGCTTGCCATCTGGCCGTTGTAATTAAAGAAACGGACAGCTCACACTTGAGGGTGGATGGATGTTTTAAACATCTTTTCCCGTTCCCAGTCGGACATTTTTACAGCTGTTGATGGCTGTGACATACAAGCGTTTGGACTGTTATAGAGCTGCCTGATCGCTTGCAGGGTCCTGGGGAAGTGTGCCACTGCTGCAGGCTATCCCAGGCGCCGCTGTCCCCTGTGCGAGCCCAACATGGCAGGTCTGTTTACATTTCCAGTGGCTGATCTCCCCTCTCATCACTGAAAGCGGAAGCAATGTGCACTACATCACTTCTGGTTCCAGTGTGTAATTTTTTTGGCTGCTGTAGCCGGAGAAGAAGATGGGGAAGCAAAATCTCTGCTTCATTAGCTTTTTTGAGGTGTAAAGGTCTAATAGACCCCTTATTTATCCATAAAGAGGACCTGTCACTGTATCTAGGCTATCACATAGGGGCTTGTTAGTTGTGGTTGGTATGCAGGTGTGGAGTGCAGAGGATGGGTGTCAGCTGTGGTGCTGAGTCTGGGGTTTTTGTGGTGGTGGAAGAGTTTTTGGTACAA